GACGTTTATTTTTCTGAAGGTCTTGCCCACGACCATAATTCAGGGAAAAAAGATTTTTCTCATATAAATAAACTCTAAACTGTATTTTCTCACAAATAAACTCTTGCTATTTTCTGAACAAATTCGAACTTCATTGCAAGTCTGTCCCCCACTGGAATACCAACTGCTTCTGTGGAATTAATTCCCCTAAGTGCCTTTATCAGATTTGTTCGCTTTGTTCCTGAACATGAAGTTCAGTTCAAAACAACAGAAACAGAGGAGGTGCTTTTCATCTTCTGTTTTGCAGTAAAGTGACTGGGAAATGTGTGTTGCCACAGGCATATGAAGTTCTTTGGGCCCTTCGAAATGAAATATTTGGAAGTGTAGCCTATGATTTTCAAGGGACTGGATTTTCCTTCTAGGCTTATGAGCTTCTGGGATGACCCAAGATGAACTTGTTTCTCCCAAAGCTAAGCTACAGTTCTGCATCCCAAACACTTGCAGTATGAAGCTGGGCAGATGAAGTGATGATACAAAATTTGGAGCTTCCATACCACTTGCTTTCTAAGGCTCCTCACTGAGGTGGGAGGCTAGGTGCAGCTCGGTAAGGATTCCAGATGAAAACTCGATGACAACAGAGTGTCTTTAAGCAGGCATTCTTTATTGCAGCGCTGGGCAGCACCAGCGATCGTTCCACCATGAGTGCTCCAACAGGTTAGCAAAACACATCAGTTTGTATACACAAAAATTATACATATTCATCAGATTTCCTCAGAACGGCAGTCTTACAGTGATGAGTTCCTGGAATTCAGTTACATAGTCCAAGCATGCGCAATAAAATTAGGATTAGGGTCTTTTTACCCTCCGGTGGTCATTCATAGTCTTCCTCATGCTGTCCTCTAGTTGAATCCTCCTTCTTGAGCATAAGCCAGGGTGCCTTTTGTGATGCAACCTTTTGTAACAATCAGTAGTGTAGATGTTTACTAGGCTCCTTAGAGTCTGGAGCTTTGTCTCCTTGATGTCTGCCTGGTATGTATAGCTTTGAGGGGGCTCCTGGGTTCCTGCAGTTTCTGTACATACCTTTCACCAGCAAACAGGCTATGCAGGGTTTTACGATCCAAAGTTTCTCAACCCCTAATTCAAATGTTATCAAAACTAAAATTCATACAGAATTAGAAATTTCACTTCATCAGAGAAATCCCAAAGTCTGAGAAAAATGTTGACTGTTTTGTATTAATAAATCAGAATAAAGTTTCAGGAGTGACTTCAGTACAATATAAGGAAGGCTTCACAAATCATGGCTTAAAGAAACTGTTTAAAGAAGAACATAGAGGAATATATGGAGACATTAGTACGTGAAACAGAAAGACTTACTTGCCTGGAGACTGCACAACAGCTGAAATGCAAGCCAAACTTACAGCCAATTAGGAGATGACGTATGGAGATTTACCCGTGGGCTGAAATGGAACAAATGCCGGCAGACTTAAAAAAGAAAATCCTCCTGGAAGCTTTTTTATTCAGCAGTATTTTGTGCTCTTCCTAACTCTGCCTCTCCAGAAAGGAAACATTTTCAAAAGAATGCTCCATTTCATCATAACTAGTGCAAACTAAAAAAAAGAAATGGTTTTATATGTCTGTTTTGAATTTTGTATTGACTTTTTTATATAACCCTTAGGCTCAGCCTGAGATCTAATATTGCGTTGCAGATTTCAGCTGAATTGCAAATGCATAGGATCTGCATTTCTTGCAAATTTACACAACACGGCATGGCAAATTCAGCTTTTTCCCAACCTTGCTGGCTGTCTGCGTATTAGACACAGCCTCTAACAGTAACAGCCAAGTTTCTACCACCAGTTTAAAGTTGTAACTTCATGAGTCTAGGTGTTGCTCACGCATCATGACATGAACAAATGTTTTGGGATGTTGTTCTGAGTGCATCCACAGATGCGGCTACAACGAATAGGCTGTTAGTTCCCAGTAACATCAGGTGGGAACCAGTTCTGGACACTGCTTGGATCTCAGGGCAATCTGAGATCCAGTGTCAGTAACTGCAGTTTCAAGTCAAAAAAAGCAATGTGGGATAAAATTTGCCAAAAATTTGCTGCATAAGTGTTGACTAGTTGTTTTAACAAGCTGAATAGAAAAAAAATCTCACTGGACCATAACCTACATAACCACATCTGCTCCATGTTTTGCAAGTAAACGGTGGCTGGAGGCTTGGGGATGGTGCTGGGAAAGACAGTGGAACAGCCTGGGAAGGTGTGCACAGAAGCTGGGTTACTGGAGGACAGTTTGCTCTGCCCTTGAAGCGGGGCCAAGAGAAACGGGATCAAACGTGTGCTTGTAGGATGGATTTTGTGTCTTAAGTACTTATCTCAGGTGCCTTTAGTGTCTTAGGTCGATGGAGAGGTTGAGGCATGGGTAATGAAAAGGAGCGAGTGAGCCCAGCTGCTTTGTGAGCAGTTTGTGCCCCACACAGCCTGTCTGAGGGTTCCTGATGTAGGTCTGGGACCATGGCAGTAGAGTGCCACCTTTCCCAGCCATTTCTTGAGGCTGCAGCATAGGCAGGGCAGTGGGGAAGCCCGTAAGACAGGCTGGACATCTGGGATGAGGGTGGGAATGGTGCTTTGTCCAACATCTGTGCCTCTGGTCACGCTCCTCTTAGCATGCACTGGAGGTCAGGCTTTGTGGCGAGGTAGGAGCCCATGTCCTTGTAGCAAAGCAAAGTGCTGGCAGTGCAGAGATGAGAGCTGGTCTCTGGCTCCCAGGTCTGTGACTGACCACCCCGCCACCTCGTTCCCCTGGGACTGGGACTGCTGTGAGGAATGTTGGCACCAGCCAGTTCCTGATACTCTTGTGTAGCTGAGGGCAGTGAGGTCTAAGTTGTCCTGTTTCCTTCACACCAAGCCACACCTGCCTCAGGACTACCCTGACACGTTCTGGTGTCGTAGAAGAAAGCAGTAGCTGGTGGCCCCATCCGGGGCCTGCTGTATCCATGGCCAAGTCCACCCCCAGCCTGGGCTCTCACATTTGCCCCTTTCCTAGCCCTAACTGCCAGTGTCTCCACAAGACGAGGAGCCCTGGGCAAAGGACTTTATACAGATTTTCAATGATACGTTTTACTGCTGAATTTTGGATTTTGACACGAGTCTGTCTTGAATATTCCTCTTTGCAGTGCTAAATGTATAGTGTTTTCTTTAATGATTACTTCTCCATGTTTAGAAGTTATGTGCTTAACTTTTTATTATATGTTTTTTACTAAAATTTACATTTGGAGAGCTAAGCCTGAACATGGAGACTTTGCATCTGTGGTGTTAGAGCGGACTTCCTTACAAGATGCAGTGACTTCTAACACAGTGGAGGCTACTTAGGTCTGTTTTAGGGAAATGGTTGTAAAATAAAGTTTTAAGGGAAGATGCGTTTAGTAGATATTTTATGTTTGTTTGCAGAGTTAACGCAAGAGCTGCCTAAATCACAATTTTCTGTCCAAAGTTTTTTATAATTTTGAAGCTCATCAGCTGTGTGCATGGGGTATTATGGTGCTGTAGGTCTTTTGTTTTGCCTTGTCTTTAATATTGTGTATATTTTTTTTTTTCAGATCTAACAGTAATTTCTTGCTCTGCAGCTTTACATTTGTTCTGCTATTGATAGAAGGAAAAAACTCTCATTAAAATAAATGTATTATTATATCTGAACTCACTACTGAACTTGCATTTTATAGATAAACTTTTCTCATTTAAGATATTTTCTTTGCTCAGTTCTGTAGACGCTTTCAGGTTTATTGTCACTTTCTTATATCTTTATCTGTAAGTCTGAGTCCACCTGACTATGTATGGTTTGGTCCTTATTCCATGTATCTTGAAATTCATGCTTTTCTTAGTGTTTTGTTGGAGTAAATTCTTCTATTTATCTACGAATTCTCATAGATTTTTATCTTTTCCTCTCCTTTGTGTTCCAGTCGTGCCTTGGCTTTCTCAGTTTCACTGCTCTCTCTTACTAAATATTCTGTCTTTTTGGCACAGCTGAATAAATCCACTGAATTGTTGTGATGTTAATTCCTCACCATATGGTCTGGAATGCTTAGGGGTTTTTTGGTGTTGAAAACTATTTTGCCTTAAAGTTCTATGAGTTTTGTGTCATTTTGGCAGGAACAATTCAAAATTTTTAAATTACAATCTGCTTTGTAGCATCCAGACTGGCTAGCTGATTCCTTATCCAGGTGGCTGACTTCCTTGGAGGTCTTTGAATTTTCTCTCTGGTATTTTATTTTTTGAATTCTTTCTTGTTATGTGTTTAGAACATCATGCTCAATCAAAGTTCTTTTACTATCTGTGAAGATTATTATTTTATTAAAGCAAACTGGCCCAGGGACATCCAATGGGGAGCTGGTAAGCTCAGCAATTCCCTTTGCTAGTCCAGACCTGGCTTTGGGTTTTTAAAATAAAAAAACCTGTCATTGCTGCCACAACAACTTTATGTTGGGAAAAACTCTTCAGTCACTAAAAATAGCTTTTAAACCAAAATATTTTCTTCTCTTGGACTCACACTCCAAAAGTTACATTTGAAACTTAGAGAACAGTAACTGCACGATTTTAAGGAGACTAGACATTAAAGAAGAGTAATGAATTCACTTTTTCAGCAAAATCTAGTTCTATGTCCATATTTTCTACTTTATCATCGACTTTTATATAAATATGCAGTTTAGAAACAAACGGTCATTTTGATTGTGATTTAAACAACAGGAAGTAGTGTACGCCTTAAATTGAAATTACTGGTACAAAATGTATTGACATAAACTGATCTGTGGGGTAATGCAATACTTGCAGCAGAAGATTCACATCAAATTTTTTCCAGAATGACCAAAGATTGTTAGGACACAGTTTTTTTTTTTACTTGCATGAAAATTGTTGGCAGAATTAATTTAATCAGTAATATTTCTGGAGGTCTAGTTGACAAATATTTTGTGCATGCTTAGTTTTTATGCGTTCTTTGGTAGCTGTCTGAAAATCACTGGCAGTATCCTACAAGCACAGTATTACTCTGGGCATAACTCTGCAAGTTGTTGCACAGCATCCCACAGGTGTGCTCCTATAATTTTCATTTCTTCATGAAGAGTTTACCAGTTCCAGTTTGACCTGGTACAGCAGAACATCTTCTTAAATGTACTCCTTAATTCTGGGCTTCGGAATGCAAAAATCATAGGGTCGATGATAGCATTGCACATTATGAGTGTCCCATTCACATGGAAAATCGACATGTAGCAGGCACAGTAAGGGTTATGTGGACAAAACCTTGCTAAGAGGATGTGAAGAACAAAGGGAGCCCAACAGCAAAGGAAAACTCCAAGGAAAATAGTCAGTGTAATGGCTCCTTTCATGTTTGTTCTCTGATGGACTGTGCTGGTGGGCAGTGAGGCGATCTTTTTAGCATGAGATCGAGCCAGGAGGAACATATGGACATAAAGACACAGTATAAAAAACATCATTAAAGGGAACAGGATGGTGAAGGGAATGACTGTTGCTGCTTCATAGGAGAAGAGGGCAATGGCAATGCTACTGCCAGCACAGAACGTCCAAATGATTGCCAAGATAACCAAGGCCCTTCTTAGTGTCATGATATTATGATACCGCAAAGCATAGAAGATAGTGATGTATCTGTCTGCTGCAATAGCTAACAAGCTGAAAATTGACCCCAGTAAAGACAGAATGAACATGGAATCCATGGCATCATCCAGCTTTTTCTCAAAGTCCCCACGACGTGTCAAGTACCCCATTTTGCACAAGATGATGAAGATATTCTCCAGAGTTTTGTACAAGCTACCTAACATGTCTGAAATGGCTAAACTGCAAATGAAGAAGTACATGGGCAAGTGCAAATTCCTATTTCTAACAACAGCAATAAGGACAAGCAGATTTTCGAGTATTCCAGCAGCAGCAACAGTGAAAAAAACTTCCTCTGGCACCACAACCTGGGTGCAATCAGTGATATTTAAGGAGAAATCACTTATATTTTCAAAGGAAGAAATGCTTTTGTGCCCTAAGTGTTTGACTAGGTTGGAAGGTCTCTCAGTGCTCATTTCTTCTAATCGTGGAAAAATTCTGGATTGCTGTTTCTGAGGGTTGGCTTTATTCTGAAGCTGGCCTGCCAGTCAGACCATTCTTCTTTTAATGAAGGCTTTATCCTTCATCTGGAGCGATTTACGACTTAACTGAAATGTTTTGAATTTCTCCTACAATAAAACATGCAGAAACATAAATATCAAGAAGAAATTTACCACACAGATACAGCAAAAATAGATATTTAAAATATCACCTATTGCAATTGAATGAACATATATCACCATCAGAGAGAGGCAAAGCTGGTTTGGATAAAATAAGAGCTGCTTCAGGCTTCACTGAGCCTTAGAGGAAAACAAAGTGTAAATGCTCTTTTACCTTCAAAGCAGTTTTAAAAAATATGTGTAATTTTCTTTACCAATGACCATTCCACCATTTACTGAAACTCATCTGACAGGCTTCAAGAGTTTGGCAATCTTTACTGGACCAGCTGTTTGCTTTGAGAAAGCCTGGCATTTCTCACAAGATTTGTGTTATTATTAGACACAACGAGACCAATGCCAAGATAAACTGTTGTCCAGGACAGTAATGTGTTTACCACCACACTGTTGATGGTGAAATAAAATGCCCTTGATTTAGGTATTTGTAAATATTGATATTTCTCTGAGGCATGTTAAATACTAGTGGGAGGCTTCCTTCTCATGTAAATTGAAACCATCTTTCGGTTTGATGAACATATTTCTAATGCAGATCCAAAATATAATCTTTTCTTGGCCATATTTAACAACTTTCTAAAAGACCAAATGTTTATTTCAGCATCAAAATGATGTTTTTCTTTCTTCATAATGATCCTGATCTAAACTACATCAAAGCATGCAGGAATCTTCCTAAAGTATTAGGCCTTTTAGGTTTTCAATTAATGCATAAAAGGTGGTGATATTAATTTAGCTTAGCTGTTACCCATAAACAATAAGACCCACCTGCAATTTTTATAGTCCCATTTGTGAAACGGAGATGCAGCTGCTGTTTGGAATGTCCTCCTTTTTAAAGAACAGATATATTCTCCCTCTGTTCTTAAACGCAAACCACCTTTTAGTTGTTTGGCATTTTCATACAAGTAAGACTTAAAATACTTTGGACGTTTGTTCATAGTCAGGATTGCCAAATGCCATAATAGACTCTATTACTGTTCCAAAGGGAGAAGTTAAAATTTTTTATTACTTTGTATACAAACAATGTCCTCTGCAAGTGTCAGTGGGTATCTGTGATCAGGACAGTAAGACTGCTGCTTGAATATGATTAGCCTAAATGCAGGTGAATGTGTTTGGCCACTTTTCAATGGAAAACAATTTTCTGACTTGTGTTTGCTAATGTTATCTGCTGGGATGGCCAGTAAGGTGCTACTTGTGGTGAAGAATGCTGAGACTTGGACCACTAGCCATCACAAATTCAATTGAAACAGGCTGACTTAAGAGAATGCATTCAAAAGAGTATTCATACTTATCTGAAAACAAAGGTTGTGTACTGGAATAACTGAACTGTATTGCACTGCAGTACATGTGGACATTCCCAAAGACAATTAGGTGAACATCTGTCAGTATTTGAAGGAAGGAGTTGCTAACAAGTATAAGAGACTCAGCAATGTCTTTGTAATTCTCACTTAGAGCTACTGTCATAGTTAAGTTTTGTGATTTCTAATCTAGCAATCTGTTTGACAACTTAATTTTCACTCTTAATAGAAAGTCAACATGGACACTTCAGACAAAGCCTCATTTCAATGGCAAAAATGTATTTGTTAGATCGCTGTTCTCTGAGAACTGTTTTTCAATATGTTCCTTTGCTGATATAGTCATATTGCTGAACTAATCTGCCTGACAAACATGAAGGTTCCTTCACTGAAAACGTAGAGTATTATACATGACATGATATATCACATCTGCTGCTTATAATTTCACAGTAACCTCATGTTATGTACAGCAGATGGTTAGAACAGATATCTTATAAGGGCTTTAGAGCAGTTACAGTAAACTGAATGGTTACATTATACCACTTAATGTTGTTTTCAAACAATTAATAGAAATCCAGAAAAGTACGTTTTTATTTCAGAGATTCTTCTTTCAGCATGTATCTATGACTATCACACACTTTTATTAGGGTTCCATCAAGGATATCGCCAATTATTTACTTTTCTGATGCTTCAGTGTGGTGCAGTCCTATTTCTCTCTCAGACCTCCCAGACAAAAAAGTCTGTGTATACAGCATTGTACACAGGTAGTAAATCCAGTGCTTGAGCTATACAATACACATTATATCATACTTCTGCAGTAAATCCCACATTCACGGGATTGTTTCACTGCTACAGGTCTACCAGGTGGTGTACATAAAGTAGTTTAACACTTCTAAGCAGTGTAGGACAGACAGGCTGCACATGGAATGTAAAGCTGTTGTGAACACGATGAGTAACCTTGGCAAGTCCTAAAAGCTATTGGGACAAGGAAGGCACCTAGGAGCTTGGGTGCATACTTCTGCTGGCTAAAGAAATTAGAGCCAAGATCGTTTCACACAAAGGTATAAATAGTCATCGGGTGAAAAAAAATTTACCCTCCTGTGTTGTTTGCACTACCAGAGGCTGCCTCGATGCAACAGATTTCCTCTCTGCTGTCAATACCTTGCCAGTTTTCTTCACCATTTTATTGTTCAGATAAAGGGCTCATGCCACTCACCAACAGCAGCCCCTGAAAGACCTCAGATTTATCTTTTGCAGGTATCTGCAAAATCAACATTTCACAGCTAGTGTTTACATGTCAGAATTGCTAAAAATAGAACACAACAGTTTAAGAATAAAAAAGTTCTTTATAAACTGCAATAATCTTTTCCTACAATGGCTGAACTATTTGGATTTTGGCTTTCTGAGGTCGTTCACGGTCTAAACCCAAGTAGGTGTAAATGTGTAAAACAGTCAAAAAAGCAACAAATGACAAAAAAAGACCCTTTAAGTTTGAAACTCATTTGCAAAAGTAGCTATATCACAAATACTGCAAACCCCTCAACCTATTATTTTTCATGTTTAAATTAGGTCCTGGAGGGAGAAATCAACAGCTCATTAACACAAGCTATTCAGAAACATTATCTAGAAAGAGGCAGAGTCCTGACACGGTATAATGGGCAATGAGCTGATGGCGATAGTGAAGTTACTAAAAAATGCATACATTTGTGATATTGTCAGCAATTTCTATTCAATTTGTAGTTATCTAAAGCAAGATGAAGCAGGAAACTGGAAGACTGGAAGCAAGGACCAGAAACTATACTGACAATATTGTACAAACTTTGGAAATAAAAAGAATTCAGATTACCTGTTGGTTCACCATGATTATAGTTTGGCTTTTTACAACACACTGACACTTGCAGAGCACCTTTGCACTGGTATATGTTACACAGCTAAAAGCCAGCCCTCGTACTTCAGCTTGTGAGAAGGCTGAGGACTCCTCCGTGGATGCTGAGAGGTCCCAGCACTGTGCAGGATTAACCTTGGACAAAAAGCATAGTTCTCTCCCGTGTGCCCAATGCCTGTTGATTACAATAATTGAATTTTCTCTACAGTAGAAATGCAACGGCTTAGCACCTGAAAAATCTGGGAGTAATAGGTCTGCACTTTATTTATTTATTTTTTAATTGGATGAAAACTTATTCATCAAATAAAAAACCCAACATATTTCTCTCAATCCCCATGTTAAATAAACTGGCCTGGTCAGCTGTACTAGCAATAAAAGTAATTTCAGCTCTGAACCATAATGAAAAGATATAGTAAAGAAATTATATACCTTAAATACTGTATAATTTCCTAGGGTTTTATTGCATCTATTATATTTTTTACTAGAAAAACATGCCTCCTTTTATTGGATACACCCCAAGCTGTATTTGCTCTCTACACAGCAGTCTGAAAGGGTTGTGAGTGTGAGTAGTCTCTCCTGCTTTTGGACTGCACAAACCAGCTGAGATAACTAGGCAATTGTGTAGATGCAGTGATTTGTTTCCAGAACAACAAAATGTATTAATTTGCTGTCCTTCTATGTGTATATATATTAAACCCCATAATTTAGTAGGAATGAAAAAGAAGGGTTTTGTCTTTCAGGCGCAGTATACGCAGTATACTTCACAATCCATTCCGTATATACAGAGCTACTTATTTGTCACTTGAAATACCATGACATTTGCTCAATCCAAAGAAGTCTCTAATGTATTACAAACGCCTTCTGATGTCATTATCTCCAGCATTTCATCCCCAAAGCTATCCAGTGTATAAACTCTCATTGGTTTAACTAAAAGCACCTCAAGAATCAGGGCACCTGGTTCAGCTTGGATCTCCTAAAACTTGGGTCATCGTGGAACATTAACCCCTTGTGGAGGTGTTGGACAAGCTGTGTGTGACTAGTTATGGTGCCTGGTGCTGCTTAGGATGATCTGCTTTTTCGGGAATCGACAGCAAACGCCCCATGGACGGGACCTGTATACTCTTTCAGTCTCTTCCAGTCAAGCTGTTACAATTTTGTATAAAAATACGTTTGATAAAAAACTATGGACAATTACCTCTTCTCTTCTTTCCAGCTTTTCCATATGTACCAAACATTTAAGAAGAGAACAAGCCACTTAAAAACGTCGATGTGGAGGCTTAGTTTTTAAGGCTGTAAAACAAGTGAAAGGATAACTTTTTAAATTATTTTTCTTTCTTTATTTTTTTTCTTCAGTAGATAAGCAACAGCTTTCATGGAGACAAAGAGGAGTGGACCTGTTAGAAGAAGGTAAGCTATGAGGACAGCACTTTCTAATGGGCATTTCTTTTTGTCTACCAGCTGGGATTAGCCCCGAACGAGCAAGTATGTGAGAACGGACACATAGAGCCTGATTCTGCCTTGCCCTGCACATTGTGTAGTTCTTTACAGATGTTAACAGCGAGTCGGAGGAATTACTCTGCTATATTTGCCGAATCCTAAGGGCTCTGTTAGCTTGCAAGTTGCCTGCT